TTCAAAACACCTGAGCCACAAAAACCCTCAATCCATTCGCACCGCGTTCGTGCGTCCGGGAATGATCTGTGATCACAGCAATTTGGGTTCACACCAGTGGATCAGCTCGCTCCGTCTGCCATCATTGGGCTGCGTGAATTCACCCACAACCAGTTGAACATCACGGTCCCTCAACGCCCAATTGAACCCACCATTCGTACCAAACATTTGCTAGCTTCCCGCACGAAGAAACGCCCTATTGCCGCTCTTAATTGCCGTGGGATTGAACGCGGAGCCTACAACACCCTTTATATTCGCTGTGCTCAACACGATGTGTGTATTCCGGCCATTATTAAACTCACCAAAAAAAAAGACAAATTCCACGCAGAAAAGATGGGACCCGCCACAATATCCGCATGAGAAAGCCCACTCGGTGCCCCATCGCTACCATTAAGCGTCGTGTAACCCCCATCAAAGACAACCGTCACTCCACCAACACCCACAAGAGCAAGCGATCCAAACGAATCCCTCCTTCCACTTGCACCAGTCCCACTCTTCGGTTCCAAATGCGTTCGTCCCGGAACGAAAATAAAAGCCACCCACGGCAGCCGCGCAATCAGTTAATTCTCCCCCGTCGATGCGGCCGCAGCTCCACAGGTGACGCAGCACATCACGACGAGGAGGAACAGCACCGCGGAAGTAAACACACGCCGAGAAATGTTGGGCCTCTGCGGCTCACTCTCTCCTCCTTCCGCTGGATCCGGTCACGCGGCAACTGTTTGTGTGTGCGGGGTGCCATCACTGCAGCAACACGTGAGAGCATATAAATATGTGTGTGGGCGGTCTGTGTGTGTGCTGTTGGTCCTTTCAGTGCCTTCGAATTTCACAGTGGCGATTCGCGCTTGCTTTCTTTCTTCGTGTGTAATTGAAAGAAATGAGGCGGAGAAGAACAACAGCGGCAATACACCAGAAAGGTAAGTGAGGAGCAGAGCAGAGCAACCACGCAAAGAGCGGGGCACGAGACAATCCGGAAGGGACAGCACGGAGGACCATCGCCCACAGAAAAGAGCAGCAACACGGCAAGCCACGGCGGGCCGTCGGTGTGTGCGGGTCAGCCCTCACGCGGTGCAACACGCCACACCCAACAGGGAATGACAGACAGAGAGGCGGAGAGAGAAATGAATGGATGCCGTCAGGAGGCACTCACAATCAACATGGCCCGTGAGCATGCGGCCACTCCACGCAGGAACACAGGAGAAAAGGGTGAGAGGGGGAAAAAGCAAGAAGCAGCACAACACACACAAAAGAAACAGACGACAGGCGGAAAAGCACCGCCAAGGCCCTCGCCCTGGCAGGCAACTCCACACCGACCCTTAATTACACACACACACACAAACACCATCGCAGTGCCGTCAGTCCGCGGGTGAGAGGATTCGGTCCTCCACACAACAAACGCACACACCGCCAGCAATCATCCACCAATGGACAAGAACAAGAAGCGACACACCGCCACCGCCTCCAGTCCAATCCTACGGAAAACGGGATACAGCCACAGCCCTGCAGCCAACACAATGCACACGGAGCAAGCAATCACCCAAAGAGCCGCACGCGGAAGCGGATCCTCATCCATCCATGACGGGCGCCTCACTCCATGCGGTCACACGGAATGCACACCATTTCTTCAATAGAAATTATTCGTCATCCATCCCCTAAAGATGCTTCTGTTAATGATGGGCCTTAGAACACAATAGAAGAAAATGGACAATGCAGTAGCACTGCGACACCACCAGCCACAATAATTCCCTCATACCGAGGCAATTTTCCAATTCTGCCTCGTATAACACACACACAACTAACATATCATGTAGAAACCACCCAATGTTTTTCACCAGAAAACAAACAACCCCTTTCCCTCCCTAATTTCTCCTGCCACTGTTATGTTCGATAGCGTTGGACAGTTCTGAAATCTGTATGCTATTCTGCCGCATGGGGCTGGTGCACCCGCACCGTATGCACACAAAAAAGTATCCAAAAATATATAAATCCCACAATATTTTTTTACCAGAAATCAAAGTTACCCCTTTCATTCCCTAATCCGTTCTCCTATTTCGGCGGTTATTCCTCACCTCGGAGAGCTTCGCCTCTTCTAAAGTCTCCGGATGATACCGCTGCTATGTACTGGTGCACCTCTTCCTCCCAGAACGCCGCAATCTCTCGGTTTTCAGCGCGGCTCATATTATTGGAATCGACGACATCACATCTCCGCCAGCCAGTCATCGGCGTGCTGTCTGCGTGCTGCACATAAATCATCTCCCACGACATGTCTCGGGATAACTCCTCCCAACCCTCAAAATATGCCGCCAGGCACTCATTGAACTGCCGCACAGTGCTGGTTGTCGTGTGGTGCCCACCCGCCGTAGTCATCCGCAGCCCAACCAGCGTCTTCGGATTTGAGTTCACAAAGAAAAAGGCGTCCACCAGCGGAAAGTTTTGGACTTTCGGTTCATACAGCACCCAGTGGTCCATAGCAACCGGATTGGAAAGGCGTTCCGGTGGCGGCAGAACCTCTTTTCTGGCGAAGCTCTTGTCTGAGTGCTCTTTCAGCGCACAGCTGTGTGGCTCACGTCGTCCTGGTAGCCTCAGTTCCTTGATTTTGAGTCTTATCGCACGCAGGAAATCCTCATTCAAAAATGCGAA